GTCACTTCAGCGGGAAAAGCTTTCGGAGTTTTGCTTTCTACAGAAGGGCGGCTCAGCGGCGGCCGCAGGAGAGAAATAAAAAGAAAAAAAAAAGGGGGGGGGGGAAGGAAGGAAATAACCCTCACGAATAATCCAAAAGCTGAGAGGGGCCGCGCCGTGTCTCCGTGCGCAGGCGCCGCGGCTCGCGCAGGCGCGGGCTGGGGAAGGCGGGAAGGGACGGCGGGAGCCGAAGGTGAGGCGCGAACGCGAGGCGGGAGCGCGGCACGCAGCGACCTCCGTCTGCCGCCACCGGCAGCAGCAGGGGACACGAGATAAAGTTCCTTCATAACCAAGTTTGTTATAAGTAACGTCAGATTCATCTAGTTTAGGTTAGAATAAATGCATGCATGAAAAAAATCTGATGGGAGTTTGAAAGCGTCATTTCATTTTGAATGTCTAACAAAACCAACCAGGAGCACTGAACACATGGAATGATAACAATTAATTTCAACAAACTCTTCTCGCGGCTGTAACAAAACTCTATTCACGAAATACCTAATTTCTTGTTTGTTTTACAAAGAACCCCCTATGTAAATATTATACATATATGCAAATAGAAACTTGGACCACAAATACAAAAGTTAACAATTATGTTGTGTATTTCAACTAAGGAGCCTTCTGTGATACAACGGAAAGAATTTCCAAGGTTTTTTCATTCATATTACCATTTATCTCTGGGAGGGAACCTATTCCTATTGGGGAAGTGCAGCTGTTGGAACCAGACAGCAAACAAGGCAGTTCTTCCCAGCATTAAGCCAGTCTGGGTCTCCACAGAGCTGGTCAAACGCCACACCCCTGCACCAGCAATGTAGAAGCACAGGGCACTGACCTTGCAGCACTGGACAACAATCCACAGCTTTTATCTGTAGCCAATTCCAAGTATACACATCCTGCATCTTAAGAGTTACATTTGATTTAGGAGGAGTTTCTCTCCCCACTCATCTCTCTACAGCTGAAATGCTGGCAGTTTCAAGGTATTTCATACCTCACATGAGTCTGACAGAAAACTGCTAAGTTTAAAATATAAATCTGGAAACTATCTAATATTAAAGTGGTTTACAGATATGCAAACAATCCTTTTTAATGATTACAAAATTACCATCTCAGGCACACCACTTCACAGCGGTATCATAAAAACATCCTGTTATATTGCTCTACAGAGAACAATATTATAATGTAAGGTTTCAAGGCACAATTTCTATGTGCAGTTATACACCATAACAAACTACAAAAATAATTGTACTACAAAGTTTTGTAGGCTCTTTTTAAAAAAGTATAAGTAGTTTTCTGTAAAGCATTAGTTTTACCTCTGCTACATTTTAATGACACTTTATAGGAAATTCATAACACAATGTCCAACTACTCTCTTATATTCATGCTTCACTGCAATTAGGTGTTTTTTGTAACATATATATATGTATATATGTATATGTATATATATATATATATATATATAAGGCCATTCTGCTAAGTATTAAAGTGTCAGGTGCAGTCTCAATGGGGAATGATTTGTTCATGAGACTTATGAGTTCTGTGCTTTTCAAAATGTGAACACTGAATGAAAGCAATGAAACTAAGAATGGCCACTAATGGGCAGAAGACTAAAATTTTCATTTTGTTAATCAAATCAATTCAATCAATTGCATTATTATCAAGGAGGTTTAAATTTCCATTTCAGACTTATGGATAAGCAGATTAAGTGTATTCAAGAAGTAGCTTGGCTCCTGGCTTAACCAGACACAAAGGAAAAGGAAGTTGGGCAAAGGAAGGTTGGCAAAGGAAGGTGAGGCCACACCTCACCTCATTCCTTAGAGGCCACAAGTGCCCCCTCACACTCTCCTTAGCTGAGCAGAAAACACAGTATGTTCAGGTAGCTTAACCTCAAGTACACTGTAAAATGATGGTTGGCAGTCTTTTCCCCAGAAGGCAGCATCAAGTAACAATCATGTTGCTATATTCAGTATCCTCAGTTCTTCAAACAATACTTCTTATGAGATGGGCCTTCTAGAATTATAAACTTTAACACCATTCAGCATTGAACAGCGAGCATATTTTGTCAGAAGAGCACCAACAGTCTGCTTCTCTGCACACAAGTCTCTAGAGAGGAAATAAAGCACATGACATTGGCATTAAGAGAGATTCTCACATAAAATGAATCTGTAAAATATTTGTAACTACAGCAATAAACTGGATTAGGATATTAGGAAAAAACCCGAACTACTGTAACTGTCACATAATGCTTTAAGTTATCTAAAGTTTAGAACGTGCCTTGACATTTAAACACTAGACAAAACTAAATTACTTACTTCAGAAAAAAGAATGTTGGGTTTTAGGTAGAATTTTTATTATTACTGATCTCTAACAGAGTTTTCAATCTAGCAAAACAGTTATATTAGAGTAAATTTAGAGCCACTCATGAAGAGTTGATGCAGTTATTTCTGGATCAGCATCAATATCTGCACACATGTATCACAGCTGAACATTCTAAATAGTGCAGTAGTGTAAGTCTTAACCACCAAAGGAACAAGGGACGCAGTACAGGAAGCACTGTTGCTCTATAGTTCTAGTGTTGTAAATATAGAGACTCGTTGTAAATGTCAGGAAGTTTAGCCTTTCAATTGTCTTGCCTTAATCAAATGAGAGTTGTCATTTACTGTTTAAACCCAGTAGGATCAGCTTTTTACATACATTTAATCCAAAAAAGAGAGTTACAGATCCCAGAGATAGGTACTGTATTCATATAGAGAATCCACATTAATTTAAAATGCAAAGCATAGTAGTATCACTGAGGCAGTGATAGCTCATCAGAAACCAGCTATGCAAAAAGGGAAGAATATAATACCAATTATATTTTAATAAAAATAAATACATCCTTACTGTATATAAGGGGTAATATCCACCTCTGTCCATTTTTCCCGTATGCGAAATAAGCTGTTGAATCTTTCCTGATTGTCTTCAGGTAAGTCTTCCACTTTTAGTAGACAGATGGTCTCTGGTCTTGAACTTTTATCCACAAGAGCCAAGCCCTGTAGATCAGCATCAGAAAGGAAATGTTAAGTACTGACAAAACAATTAAACTTCCTTCCTCCTGACATATTCCATACAAATTGCTCTTTGCAGATCCAAAGCCTTCCAGAACAGCACTACTAGAGGGAAAATGAAGAAGTACCATAAAGGCACTGTTTTACAGGCAGCACTTATAATTTCCTTTATGACAAGAAGGAAGGGAGAATCCATTGGGTTCTAACATCTCTCTGCCTGCTTTGAACAAAAGGATTCCCATAGTGTTTGCTACTCTGCTGGATGTCACTGCAATCTGTTCAACAACAGCTTCAGTTTCTGTTCCAGTCACACTTACATGTAGTAATGGTACAGCTGCAGCCTTTCTTCAAACAGTGAAATGTGCCTACAGAAACCTGAATTACCATGATTCCAGACTACTGCTGCTCATAGAGGACATCATAAAGCATACTTGAACTCAAAAGCTGACAAGAACGACACAATACCAGTAATGGATAAAATATATATATGACACAAGTCAGTTACAGCCTACTCACAAAAGAATCCATACTTCTTTATGTGTTTACCTGAAGTTGATCAAGTCTTGTTGTAATCCCCTCAGGAACACTCTGTTGCCAGACTTCTTCGAACTCTGACAGATTGAATTTAACTGCATTTTGCAAAAGCATTTGTGCTATAGCTCTGCATATTTTATCTTCACACATTTCAAAGAAAATCTCCCCTGCTGAGAAGCAAAAACTAGGTTATCTTGGATTCTTGCCTTTTGATAAAAGAACAGCCTTGTATTCCCTTGTATTTCCATTCTGTTCTACAGACTTCTATACACCAAGCATTCTCTTTTTTCTTCTCCTTTGGGAAGTAATTTGACTCGGTATTAATTTAGATAAATTATGGTATCTTCTCATTCTCAAGAACAAACGATGCAGAATACAGCAGCACTGTCCCAACTACAGTATTAATTCTTATCAATAAATGTGTCTGCCCTCCATATTTTCCCCTTCCACAATGTACCATTTCTCCTACAGCTCTCATTCCTATTTCTGAATGGTTTGTATTAAAGCATTTGCTTAAACAATTAACAAAACTTTCACTTCTTCAATCACCCTTATGAGATTATGAAGGGATGAGACTTCATTTTCTCTCACACTGATTTGGCTAGAATTTTCTGAACCAAATGAGGTATAACCACTTCCTTCTATTGTTTCAGCCACCTTTCTGTAATTCAGACTTGTTCCTTGTGCAAACTTCCTAAATATATTAACACAAGAGTCTGTTGTCACTCCAGTTACTTTCCTATGTCCCTTAAGGTTGAGTGCAACTCCTATGTCAGCTGAAGGTGCGATGAAAGCCACCGTGGGGAAGAATTCAGACTGAGATTAGGGCAGTGCAGTATTATATCTGTGTGTGAGATGGAAAATCTCACAATGGAAATGACAATTAGACAATGGAAATCTAATCCATACAGCAGCAGATCTTGTGGTGTAGTTCAAGAGACCAAAGGCAGATACCGACTTCAGGCAAGCTGAATTTATGCCACTGACTGCTCAATTAATTGCTTAAATATCTGAGATCTTCTAGGGTATCTAAAGAGAGATGCCACCTAAATTTTACTAGTGATCTCTTTTTAGTCACAAAATTATGGCTTGTAGACACCTAATAAATCATTTCCAGTACCTCTGTTCACAATCATCTTGTATGGTTTAATAGCCCTTCTTTTCCTATGAAACTTCCTTTAACAATTGTACTGATTTTTAGCTCAATTTGCTCCCTCCTTATACTGGCACTGCAGCAAACATTTGGTTGGGCCATGCTTCACAAAACCTGCATTTCCTCATTAATAACTATTTCTTTTTTGCAAAGTTAAACCATGCGTGCTTTCCCAAACTTACCATCAACATATTTCCTGCCATAGCTCAAAAGAATATGCTCTATCATCTCTCTGGGAAAGAAATCAGAAATCAAGTTATTTTACTGTTTACTAGAACACTACGGAAACAGATACCATGAAGATTAAGAAACAGGTACGGAGAAAAAAAATAATTTTTTTTTATAAAAGAGAATAGATGACGAGACACATTTTTGTGGGTGAAATGAAGAAACTGGTAAAAAAAGAAGTAGAAGAGAGAACCAAAGGGGACAAATAAAATCCATCCAAAGATGGGAGCTGATTTAGCCTGTCAACCCAAAAGGTCTGTTTGACTTTCTAGTTATAACTAGCAAAGACTAAACTGTGTAAGGAAAATAAGGAATAGAGACTCCTGCAGTATCACTTTTTTCCAGTGAGGAAGAATTGTATCAGGAAGAGTGTGGCCAGCAGGACCAGGGCAGTGGCTGTTCCCCTGTACTCGGGTGAGGCCACACCTCGAATGCTGTGTCCAGTTCTGGGCCCATCACTCCAAAAAGGACACTGAGGGGCTGGAGTGTGTCCAGAGAAAGGCAACAGAGCTGGGGAGGGGTCTAGAGCACAGATCTGATGAGGTGCAGCTGAGGGAGCTGGGGCTGCTTGGCCTGGAGAAAATGAGCCTTAGGGGAGACCTTATTCCTCTCTGCACTCTAACAGGCTTCCCAGGGAAGTGCTGGAGAAACCATCCCTGGAGGTGTTCAAAAGATGTGCAGATGTGGACTTGGCAGTGGTGGGTTAATGGCTGGACTCAATGATCTTAATGTTTTTTACCAGTCTGAATGATCCTATGATGCAAGTCAAAAATTTCTCAATTAATTACCCCTTACTAAATAATACATGCTTTTCTAAAGCTCTGTCATAAAATTATAGCCTAACTGCGGATATCTTTTTTGAGTCAAAAGCCAATTAAATGGAAAATGTCACATATTGTAAACTTAAGACTTTTTTTGAATGGTAATTTTGAATTACACCAGAAAACATATCTCCCTCTTGCCTAGTATGCAACAGATAAACCAAACATTTTTGGCTAGCTATAGCTTCAGAACAGGTATTTCAAGATGCTCAGCAATTTACAAATTAAGCACATGCTACTTCCATCATTTACAACTCAGCAGTAATATTTCTACTATGAATCAATGGAAATACTACCAATAAACACTAAAATCAGTTTACTAACCTATCTGCCTAAAAATTCCCTTGAGTATTTTGAAACAAGAAAATGTATCATTTACATCATGATAACTAGAATCTAGATTTGCAAGACTATAATTCTAATAGACAGTTAACAAGTACTGTAATTATTAATAGTTAATAATGAATGTAGGTAATTGTAAGTACTAAAAATAATTGTTTACCTGGGTTCTAGAGATCCAAGTTCTTCAAGACAGGCACATAAAGGAACCTTACTCAAAGGCCAGGACTCTGAGTCTATTAGCTGAGTCACATGATTCAAGAGTTTCATCTCATAGTCAAAGTGTAGAATTCTCCAATATCCTGACAAACAGAGCACCAAAAAACACTATTAGAAGGAAAACATTAACACTTTAATTCTATTGCCATTAAGATACATTTACTAGAGTCTGGACATTCAGGTCACACCTTTACAACATGCAGCAGCATTGTGTCTTTTTCAGAATAAAAAGCTGAGAAAAGGAACTAAATCATAAGAACAAATGTAAAGGAGATTTAATTATCTCAACTGTTTGTAATTCTTTAGTAATTCTTTAACTGCCACAGATACAAAGACACTACAAATATCACTCCAAGATGAATCAGATGTGAGAAAAACAATATTTAGTTCAGGAACAGAACTGCATGGACAGAACTGGCTGCACTGGCTCTACAAAGCAACAGCTTAGGTCTAGAGAAGTTTACAAAAATCCAGAAATCCAGAGGATTCTAGGACTGCCATCACCTTGTGTCCTAGTGAGGGTTTGGGCATGGCCAAGTAAAGGACGAGGAGGACCTGTCCCAAGGTGAGGCACTTGCTCAAGCCTTGCCTCACATGGTAGGAAGACACTGAGATAAACCCAGTCTGGGAGGACAAAAGGACTATAAACAGGATGGGGTTACCTAAGAATCATCTATTTTTGCCTCTAGAGCTACAGAAAACAGTACCCACTCATTCATGAAGAGGGTGACCAGCTAAAAAAATACTCATGCTGTGGGTGGGATACTCTGATGCCAATGTTTGCAGCAAAGGAGTTATCCTGGAAGGAGAGAGACTGGCAGTGCCTGCTCAGCTTTATCCTTCTGATCAGATTCCAAGCAGCAGAGGACATGGATCTATGGAAACAAGTTTTAGAACTTTGAAGTAACTTGTACCTTGAAAGACAAGGATATGGAATGTGCCTTATGAAAAGGAGACATATATTTTGGGGAAAATAGCAGGGTTATTTCCTCATATGTAATTATAATCTTTAGACACTAATACCTTCAATTTTGCAGGCATCTATAACCTGCAATTGGTGGAGTATTTCTTCTTCACTTGCTTGAATCAGACTTAATAAATCTTCTGTTGTATACTGCAACAAGAGAAAACAAGAAGGAAATAAAAGAGGTTATTCTTACTCCTTCTTTGCTTTAGTGGCCATACTAAATGCATTATAAGCTATAATGAAGGAAAGACTTAAGATAGATGGCTTCTTCCCAGACTCTGTATTTTCTAAGGTTTGCCACACTCTCTGAAAATTTTTCCTGTAACTTAAAACATTGTCTCAAAGGGTATTCAATATAAAAGGCAGTCTAACTACAGGAAATTCTTTGTACCAGTCATAAATAATATACCTGTATTCCCAGAATGTCAAATTAGCACAAGCAGACCTTGTAAGTCAGCAAGAACAAAAAGTGAATGCGTTCCGGATTTCCTGAAATCACGTATTTAATCTGTGAGATTTCAAAGAAAAGGCAAAGCAAAAATCACTTATTACTTTTGGATAGAAGTCAGAACCTGCACTCAGTACCTCCACTGAGGGAAAGCCTCCTCCACCACGAGCTCAACAGTTACACGTTGTGTTTTGGTGTCTGCTAATCAGTTGGCACACACACAGCACACACCTAGCTGTAACACAAACACCTCCCTGCAGAACAGTTCTGTGGTGGGATGGGAAGGTGCTGTGGGATACTGTGGTGAAGACGTGGGTGGAACTGAAGTTTTCACGAGGAGTGAAGTAAATGGAAGAAATACTAGACTTCAATGCACAGGAAATAGGACATCAATTCCTTTATTCACATTAGAGCCTTTTTAATAAATTCTAATATTAAAGTTCTGTTGATTACAGCTCAAGAATATTTCCTATCAGAAAGAAAAACACTGGATTGCGTATTGGATTGAGATCTATCAGACTATGGGAACAAAAATGAAACATACCAACACTAAGTTTGGAACATCCACATGTTAAAAAAAGGTTTAATAAATACAGAAAGGCTTCCACTTTCTGCTGTGCTATTCCTATCAGAGTATGTTGAAGTATTATCAGGCCAAGCTCCCATCAGTATGTCAGTGAAGGATGACCCTATTATACAGTACTTAAAACACTGCTAGCAATTGAGAGCAAAAGTATCCCCAAATCAATACGTATGAAATTTAACACTGCCATTCAGAGGCCTTGCACAGGAGTCCTTGGCATATGCTTCTGCTTTGAGGCCAGCCCAGCAATCCCAACAGCCACTGCTCTCAGCTCTGATGCTTTTATCAGCTGCACTGCCCTTGCAAACATAAAATGGAATGAGTTGACTTGCATCATGTCCACACCAGCAACCTCCAAATAACATATTTAATATGTTTCTTATCTCTATGATCATCTGAGTATTCAGATTCACTGTAAAATTTATTCCCTGTAAAATTCAGTACTAGCCCATATATTTATAAGCTTTCCTCTAGTTTGCTAAATCACAACACTATGCAACAGGTTCCCTACAGTGCCATAGATCTTTATGGCTGTTTTTCTGGGGTTCTCTGTGTATAATACAGTCCTGAAAATCATAAGAAGCTTACAGTAAACAACCAAAATAATTTAATTGGTTTTCAAACAGATTAAAGGTGGCCTATTAGTTCCCAGCACACGACAAATGTTAAGTGTAGCAAACAAAACAATGCAAGTCATTACTACAGACATTGTTTGGGATTTGAGTGAGAATCAGTCCCATAGGAAAGAGCTTTCAGATTCATTTAAGAGTTCCACCAGAGGCAAGGTTAAGCCTTGTCTACATTTATCAGATGTATCTAGTTGTTACCCAGTAATCTCACAGAGGAAATACATTCTCCTTCAAAATTAAATGGTGATCAATCCTCAGATCGGGCATTAACATTTCAGAGACACTGACATCCTTTTAATAATACTCAATATTACAAATAAATATTGTTTCATATGACTTTCTTGTGTTGTTAGCCTTTGACAATTTAAGCCCTTTAACCTTTGCCATCCCTTATTTTGCTGTATGTTCTTCTATGCCTCGATCAGCATAGGTAGGCAATTCTGATTAGTTCTGTAACTAATCAGAAATCAGCCTGTTAATCATCCAAGAAGAGAGAGGCATGATGGCTCTCCAGAGAAAAGTAACATCTGTGTTTGCACATCCAAACACATGCAGATGATTTGTTGGTGTCAGCTTCAATCAAGCCTCAGAATAAAATACTTGAGAGCAACTGCTTTTTGCTTTTAAAGTCAAAAGCAAACTGACAAAACCCCAGAATTTTTACCAGCCTTTTATCTGAGATCATAGGCTACACAGTCTGGGTCTCTCCATTACTCTTTAGGTTCCAAACTGAATTTCCCAGAGACATGGTAAGACAGCAGGACAGGATTTTATTTGTGTTTTCCCTTCTTTTAGTGTGTCTTATTCTGTGCCTTATACATAATCCCTGTTACTCTCTTCAACTCCCTTCTTCTTGTCATCACCAATTACTGATTGGCAAGCGACTTGCCAATCCAAAAAACTTCCCACAGGAAAAGGGAAATGCCCAGCCTCCTTCCATGTCCTTCATTTTCCTCTTTTAACTAATAAAAAGGTTGCTTACCTGTAATCATTGGAAGTACTAACACCAACCAAATTGTTTAGAATAGAAGGGTTAAAAAATTAACTCAAAGAAGCATTGTGAATCATGTGAGGAAATGGATTTTTCTCCTTAAGGATGTATCTTCACTTTAATTTATTCATTACCAATTACAAGAAAGCAACTTACTCAGTTGATTTACCTTTGAAAATGTTGAAGTCTGATCTTTCCGACTGTCAGGCCCTTCATATGGATCTTCCATTAAAAGCTTCCTCAATTTCTTCAGTTTTGGTCGACATCTCCTTAATTCCCAATAGTTCTTGGAGAAACCAGCAATCTACAAGAGAAAACAGAGACTCTGAACATTTTAACGTAGCATCTGGATTCAAAGCTGCTTACCAAGAATTATCAGCAAGCAGTGTTAATCTAGTCACTGAAAACAAGGAACTCTTAACAGGGTAATTAAAGACAAAACAATCTGCAATGTTTTCAATAAAACAAAATTACTACAGACAATGAAGAATAAAAATCTACTGTTGACTGATAAAAAAATGTTTGTAGTGCATAAGACAAAGGTAACAACTCAACTCTTCATGCAAATGACAGAAAATCACCACAGGATGTATTTCTGCACACTTTTTCTCAAAACTGCTTTTTGCCTTAACTTATTATATTACTGCCATAAAAGCCCTCCTGTATTAACCTGTGTCTATCTTCCCCACTTCTCCCCAGGCTTGGGATCTACTTCATGGTCTTTTTCTACCTTAATGAATCATCATAGCCCTAAGCTCAAGCAAAGCAGACATTAACAAGGACAGAAACCTACACTTGCACATAACTGACAAGATGTCTCTGCTCCTTACCCTGAGTCAACACACAAATGAAGAGTGCAACAGAAGCTTGGCTGTTCTTGATTCAACAACACTGACTTGCCAAAGCTTTACTTTCAGAGTAATCCTGAGGTGTTTCATGGGGTACAGCCTTGACTTCCTGCAAGACTCTTTGAAGAGGACAGACCATTGGAGGCCTTTCAGCATAATTTCTGCTATTTACCAAACTGACAGAAATAGGAACAGAATTGCAGAGGCAGAATAGGCTCCAGCTTGGTGACTCCTAACCTAGTCACTAGTCCCATGTTAAAACAGCTTCCACAAAAAAGCCTCTAGACAGTACTTTAAAATACCCTAAGTGCTTTACTGGAATACTTGGGGTATTTTAGAAGTCCCCCATTAAAGAAAAAAAAACAAACAACTAAAACTTTAAAATAATATTCCATTTAAATCAACTGTAAGAAAACCACCTATATACAGAAGAAATTGTATACAAATACTAATACATAGAAATAAACAGCAATTTCCTGATAAACTTCCAAGATTCATGTCAATTAGGATATACTTAAGTGCTAGGCTTTTTTCCTGCTAAGTTGTTTTCTGAGCAATTTGGTAATAAGAATTACCAAATTGCTCAGAAAACATTACTCTGCATAGAAAAGAAAATAAATAATTCTAATACTCCAAAGCTCATAACCTGAGCTGAGCTGTGTGAAGTGAATGAAATGGCAGACCCTTTGGCTGTATCAGCCATGCAAGTGACATAAAGATCAGCACCAAGACTAAAAGTCAAGGGCAGTGAAGCCCCACAGTACTGAGTACACATATTATCTTTTGCTGTGTTTCACAATTTGCAGTGTCAATGAACCATCTAACATTTTTGAAATAATTTTGAAAGCTCTTATAAATAAAACTTTTTAAATAGTTCCTAAGCAAATCACATTTCTATGATGTGTAACTTCACAGGAATAGTGAAATTATTTAATGTAGCAAAAAATAAGTATATGGAAGAATATTACTTTCTCATTAATCTACTTCAGCTTGAAATAACTTTTTACATTAGCTCATTAGACCTTATGGAAGAACTGATGTTGAAGTAGGATTATTCCTCAATGATGCCATTATGTCCATTACAGCAAATAATTAATTAATAATATTTGCCTAGCTATTTTTAATAGAAATTTATTAACTATGCCTCAGGAGGGCAGAGAATAATGAATTCTTACACTCTAAACTCTTTTAGAATTTTTTAATTCTTAAACTCTTTTAGAGGACTCTAAAATCATTCACTCGGACAAATGTTTTGATATGCTAATTGAAAGAGCCACCTTCAAATACATTTCTATATTTAAAAAATAGTATCCAGACACAAAGTGGTAAAATCTCCCTTTTGGGGAAAGCACTCCTAAAAATCTACCTGTAAATAGCTTACTTTAAAAATAGCTGCTAACACTGAGAAATTATATTTTCTTTGTAAGCTTTTAATACTTACCACAAGTAATTATATACACTGAAAATAAACCGCAGTTTTAACTTCTCAAAAACAATAATAACCATCCATTATGGAGAAAGTTCAGTTGCCTGAAGAAGGAATTTTGGACACCCTAAGGCATAGCACAGCCTTGTGTAAAAAACACATTTATAAAGATATCCTCCAGGTCAATACACAGAGAAGCAACAGGAGACTCATCCTTTCTCCAGTGGCAGACTGCAGCAGCAGCTAAGCAATACCACAGGGCACCTAAAATGGCATCAGAAGCCTATATTTAGGCAACTGAATCCCAGCTGGGTTTCATATATGCATCTTGGACAAAATACAAGAAATCAGAGAATAAGAAATCAGAGAATTAAAGCAAACAAATGAAAGCCCTGAAAGACATACCTGTGAATGAATAATATTACAAGATGCCGGATCTGCATTCAGCTCCTCTGGAGTTTTGCAACCAGGAACAAACAGCAGCATATTTGAGGTATCTGCTATTTTCATGTCATAAGTTTTATCTTTGCTGCACAACACTGCATGTTCATCCTTTTCACCACGGACTACTAGGCTGGAAAAAAAATACAGCATGGAAATACTGATGTATTTTTACCTGTTTCAGGATGAACACTTACTAAATTTGTCTGATATTTTCTCACATTTATACATCTGTAAAGAAATTACAAACTGCAGTTCTGTTTGGTAGCAGCAGTCACAGTTCAACAAAATATAAAGATGCAAATGTGTGGGAAAACTCAAAAGACAAGCAGTCAAAGTTTGCATGCAGAACACAGTTGAATGCCTATAGTCATACACCGATTTTCTCAACTCCCCTAAAACATTAAGTGATGATTAATGCATTAACTAGTTCACTAATCTTAGAAATTAGATTACAACTAGAGTTTTCTGTAATGAGGACTGAAGCTGGCCCACTGTGAAACAAGAAAGCAAACAGAAATTGCGTCTGTTGTGCAGAGCCCTTAAGATAATGAATATCTATTTTCTTGCAAGTAATTCCAAGCAGGAAAGAAAATAATTTTCTAGAACAATTCTGGTCAAAGAGAAAATGTAAACCACCCTCTCCAGCTCACATGCTTAATTAAGTAAAGCTTCTGGGTGAGGATGTGATAATACCAAAACGGGATGACAGGGGAACATTCAGTTCCTCTCAGGCTACATACTAATACACACTAATGTAAATGCTCAGATTCAATTTAATTAAACTGCTCTTGTCTTGTTTCCCAAAGCCTGCATGCATGAACAAAGCTCAACTGTGCCCCAAAGGATCAACATTATTCAGGCCTCTAACAGATAATATGATATCAGTATTGCATTGATAGGAATGGGTTACTAACATATATCTTAGAGAACTACCTTCTTGAGAAGGACATTTCATTTCCTATCATTTGAAGTATTTTCCTTATGGAAAACTGGCATTACAGTAAAGGAAGAAATTTAAAACAGTATCAAAGCCTTATCTAGAACCTGGTCTTGGTCCAGAGTCCAGTGTCACCTAAGCATCCCACCGTATGCCCACGCTAATACTGCAGATCCTTCCCTGCCAATTTGTCTGTCATGCAGGCACCCTGCCATCCATCAGACCTCGAGAGTTCGAACAGGAAAATCTCAAACTCAGCAGGATTCTTCTGAGAATCATCTCTTTTCTAAATCTATTATTTCTGAAATCTCTTTTCTAAACCTGTATTTCTGATCACGGAATCACAGAATATCCCGAGTTGCACGGGACCCACAGGGACCATCGAGTCCAGCTCCTGGCCGGGCACAGGGCTGCTCAAAGAATCACACCATGTGCCCGAGAGCGCTGTCCAATCGCTTCTTGCGGCAGGCTTGGAGCTGCGACCGCTTTTTGGGGAGCCTATTCCTGCATCTCCCGAGTTCTGTTTGTAAGTCTCCACAGCAGGAAGTTTTCCATACAAACTAATAAACAGACAAACAAAACAACAAGAAAACACAACAACAAAAACAAAAAAAAACCAACCAAACATAGCATGGTTCTTATAAATGTAAAAAGTTTTTAGTCTCCAGTGTAACTGAGACAGGTTTAAGGGACTTCAGGGCAGTTATACAAACAGCATCAGAACACGGCGTGGAGGAAGCCGAGTCTACGGGACATGCCCGCGGCGCGAACCGCGGCGGCCCCGGCCCCGNTCCAACCCCGCCCCGGCCCGCTCCGAGCTCCGCGCCACGAACTCCAACCCCGCCCCGGCCCGCCCAGCGGGGAGGCGGCGGCGCCGCGCACAGCCTCCGTTGATTCCGCGGTTGACGGACGGACGGGCGGAGCGATGGCGGGGCGGGCGGGAACGGCTCGGGGTTGTACCGAGGGGAATCGCTTTCCTTTGCTCTTCCACCGGGTCTAATATGGGACAGACTTCCCGATTTCTGTCCGGCTGTACAGGAGCCGGGCCATGCTGCAGTAAAATCTCTCGTTATGACAGAAATGCAGTAAAAATACACAAAATGCGCAAAAATAAAATGACAAAACATTGCAAAACTAGGCCCAATATGGAAGTCAGCACCCAGCTCTGAGGCAACATAAAATCATAGACCTGTTTAGGAAGGAAAAGGCTTCCAAGAAATGCCACACCAATGTATCTTTTAAACAACTCCAGGGGTGGTGACTCCACCTCTTCCCAGGGCAGCCTGTTCCAGTGCCATCTTTTCTGTGAAGACACTTTTCCCAATATCCAATCTAAACCTCTGCTAGTGCAACATGAGCCCACTTCCTCTCATCTTGTTATTTTTTAGCTGGGAGAATTCCTGCCTGGCTACAGCTTCATTTCAGTGAGTGGTGGGGAGCAGTAAGGTCTGCCCTGAACCTCCTTTTTTTTCAGGCTAAGCAGCCCCTGCTCCCTCAGCTGCTCCTCACCAGACCTGTGTTCCAGACCCTTTCCCAGCTCCATTGCCCTTCTCTGGACACACTCCAGCCCCTCAGTGTCCTCTTTGGAGTGAGGGGCCCAGAACTGGACACAGCACTCGAGATGCTGAGCACAGGGGGTCAATCCCTGCCCTGCTCCTGCTGGCCACACTGTTCCTGATCCAGGCCAGGATGCCACTGGCCTTCTTGGCCAGCTGGGCACACACTGCCTCATGTTCAGCCACTGTTGACCAGCGCATTTTCCACCTGACAGCTTTCCAGCCACACTGCCCCAAGCCTGCAGCAGTGCTGTGCCGCTCTCAAAGTTTTTCCTCAACACCAGAGCGTGACAACAAGTGAGGAGGGGGGGAAATTGAATGTCCAAGCCACAGTGGGTATGAAAGCACTGCTGAGGCAGCTGCCACCCACTGGCATCACACCCCAGGTACCGAGGGCAGACTGATCATCACACATGACCCCTTAGGTTGCACAGCCTCCACAGGGAGGCTTGTCTCCCCGTGACTCAGGGCTCAGCTCAGGCTCTTGCTGTGGCCTGATGGGGCTACATCTGCCAGAGGAAGCTGTGAGGATGTGCTTGAGTAAAGCCATGACACAAATGAGCGGAAACCACAGGCATGCATGATTACTGCAATGGAAATAGGCTGCAGCTCAGAGATTCAAGGGGAAGTCTATTGATGTCCTTAAAGCATAAGAAGAAAACAGAAGCAGAGGATTAGAAGACAGCAGCGAAGCAGCAGTGGGAGTCAGACTTCTGCAAGGAGCAGCACAGGACGCCTCTTCTCTTCCTTGTCCAGGACAACTGGCTCCTCAGACACTCACTGATTTATGCTGCAGGGCATATTAACACTCAGCCTGGTAGTGTGTTAGCCCTAGCTGCCTGCTGTGTGCATCAGCTAACAAACTTTTTATTCTGCGTAATTAAAAAAAGTTCTGGTATAGCCAGGAAACTGAATCCAAGGCATGGCTTTGTGGAGTTTATATCTTAAGAGATCTGCTATGTAAATAAACTCAATAGGAATTAAATCACTAGATGTTATTCAGGAGTTGGCGTTGATCTGTGGTCAGGAACATGTGTAGCAGTTATTAATCTTTCTAATCATTTTTGTTTATCCTGATAGTTCTGGTTGAAGATGCTTTATATATTTTATATATATATATATAATATCTATTATATATGTATTTCAGAACTTAAATGATATCCTTGTACCATCTTTCTCTGCCTGTCCCTCGTTTACCCCTCTGGAAGTTGCTGTTCAAGGTCAAACAAATTTGGTAGGTAAATTTCCTGCAATTTTGGTAGAAATCAGTGGCTAGATAATATATTGAGGCCCCTACTTGGGGGAATACTGCTCTAATCCATTCTAAGAGGCAGAAGTCAACTGGCCTATCTCCAAACATGTGGACACAAATCTATAGAGATGTCCCATTTCTCAAGAAATAACTGGTATTATGCATCTGTTTTTACTGAGATTGCTTTAGAGCAGTGACCTGACAAAAACAGGCTTGTCTAGGAACTCATTAATTTGGTTTCTTGAAACATGGATAAATTCTTTAATGAATTTGAATTGCAGAGAAAATGAGATTATGAACTATCAACATTGCTGTCAATTTATAAGGAAATGCATGCTATGGCAAGGGAGGATCCTGAAATTATTTTATATTGATGCTGTGGGGTTATTTATTTGCTTTGGAGCTGCTATAGCATAAATGAGTTCTGTTTTCAGTTTGAGCTGGTCTGGTGGGCTGAAACTGTCAGGGTTCAGGAGCATGTAACATCATGGCACAAGCAGAGGTGAAACACACCTGTAGGAGAATGGAAACAAGAGTTGAGGAAGCAGTAAATTCAGCTATCCTGATTTAACTTATCACCATCTGCTATCCATCCACCCAGGTGCCCATTGGAAGCTTTAAGTGGCTGCTATGAGTGTGCAGCTGTGAGTGTGAGGTATAAGGTGTACACCTGTCAGCATAAGGGAGAAGTAAACTGAACTGCTAAATAGCCTCTGTATCCTCAGCTGCATTGGGGATGGGGGCAGGAATGAAGTCAAGCCTCAAGCAAGATAAGCTTTGACATAGTTTTTCAACTGACAAATGTTAATGGAAATTAGTCTTAATGGAATGTGGTTGATGATTATTGAGTGAAGTTGGCAAACGAGAAAAGGACCATTGAAGACTGTTATAGTCTTTCCTTTGAATTGGCCCTGTATAATCTTTCCCAGGACTCAAACATCGGGGATGTGAACCATTAAATAAATGTAAGGCATCTGTGACAAAGCAAATAAAAGAAATAATTCCGAAGATCCACAACTGAAACACAGAATGATGAAGCAGGAGATAACAGTGCATGTTATCACTGTCAGGCTGTAGTCACTAGGTAGCATCTTAGGAGGATGACTTCACACATACGAGAGCAACTCAAGTGCTTGGGAGCTCTACAGTAATGCAGTGAGAAAATAGGGCTACATGAAATGGGGTGTTCAAATGACAAAGATGTACACACTAGAAATTTGCAGATGTGCTAGTTGAATATACCAACACATTATCAGCTCAGTGATAATTACACGATTCACAGTTACAGTTCTTGGAAATTATTCCACAAGAGAGATTCCTTTTGATTAAAGCTTCATAAAACCTAGTTCAAGGATTTCTTTTTTTTCAGCTGGAATGCCATCTGCAATATTTAAAATTAGCATGTGTGTTACATTTTCACTAATTAAATGACAGTTTCTCATTATCTAGAAATACCTGCCGTAGGATGTGCTCATTGTGTTTCACTACAGAAGGTGAACACTGAAGCTCTGGGTGTGACTGGGGTTACAGCTCTGAATGCTGTTTAAGCATGTCACAGACTCCCATGAGACACTGGCAATGACAAAATTACTACAATGTCTACAATGAATGTGTTACATTTCCTCTAGGGATTACTGATGAAAAGAACAGAAAGTAAGGGATAACAGAAGAGAATAAATTTCTATGCAACACATTGAAAACCTGGGAGATGTGGTGAAAGTCAAAATGACTGTGACCCACATTAAATAAGTTCACAAAGATGTGCTTGTCTCTGTTAATCACAATATTCAGGTTTTAGTCATAACTCAGGATCCTAAATAAATTCAGATCCCCTAAATCACCAGAGCACACACTCTTCTGCTCTCCATTGAAAGAGATTGTATCATAAAGTATGTTATTGAGACACACTTTAATTTTTTAACTGTTTTTTTTTTTGTAGTGAAATGTAAAATAAAAAACCAGTGGTTTGCATATTCTGTGTTGACCTTGGTTCATTTGTATTACTGTTCCCCAGTAAAACCATCATACCTGATGATGTCAGCCAGAAAAGCACCACAAAGCAGGAGCTAATGAGTCCAAGGCTCAAACAGGGAGAATTTCAGCCAATTAGTAGAATAACCAGATAGTTCATTGCTACCTCAGACATGATGTCTTGTCAGTCTTAACAGGCCACTAGAGAGATGCAAAACACTTATATTCAAATTAGGAGAAAATAAACAGCTGTAACCAAACCTAAATATTCGTGTAATACACACAATAGCTTGGAATATCTCCATGACATAAATTGGCTCTGACCTGGAAATACTGAAGAAGAAAAACTCAACCACAGAACTGGAAAGCATATGCCAAATAGTCAGAGCTCAAACACAATCAAGACAATTCAGAAATGACTTTGAGAATTTCACCACACACCATTGTGACAAGCAAGAACCCAGGTGCCCAATGCTTATGAGATAACTAGCAATTAGAGAGCTCTTTTGTTGCTATGTTATTTCTTTGCAGGGACTGTATATGTAATTGCAAACAAAGGCAGAAGATCCATCATGCAACACTGATTTCAGGATAAGGTGGGGTAAACATGAGCAAGGTGGTATCCAGCCTACGTTCAGAGCTTCTCTCAGTCTCAGCCAGTCAGCCAGAATATTCATTGCTTTACAGCAGGTCCTCACAATGTAAACACTGGTGCAATGGGTGGGGGAAGGTGCTGCGATGTCTCTTCACCTTGGGATGAAAGAGCAAGCTGTTTTTTCCCAGAATGTAATAATGTAATAATTCAAATTTAGAATATAAGTCAAGAAACCATGTTAGTTCATGCATGAGTATATCATTAAAATCTTCTGCTCCCTGTGGATAATTTTCTGGGTAGATCTCCGCAGTGCTTCTACCACAGCAAAGTCTGTAATTCATACCCAGATGATTTTGCTAGTTGGGAAAATTAACAGCAATACTTTACTGCAAGACCTAAAATTTAATCACATAAAACACCTGCTGCTAGAGATATTTAAAACAGTCTTATCATTAATATCTAGGAGTTACATGAGATAAATGCAAATAAATGTAGTTTTTAAAATATTGTGTAGAGAATTTTGTGGCTCATTTCAAACTTCAGTCTGCAGACCTTATTAATACTGACAACCTAAATATCAGTATTTAGGTATTAGTATTTAGTATTTAATTATTTTACCATCTGGCAAGTTATCCCATCATCTCACTTCTTGACTAGATGCTATCTGCATAGTAGTAACCTCCGAGAGTGGGTGTTTTTTAGTTTATTATTAATTTTTAAGGTATTGTTGGGGATATATACTACAAATAAAACCCAGCAAACTACATACTTACATTTTCTGTATGAATATAAAGTAAAAAAATAGATTAATCAAATTAATGTGAAAACTGTAGCCATTTTCTGCAAAATATTTTTAAAAACCCAAACAGGAAAATGTATCAAGTGTTCTATTTGTAAAGAGAATACAATGGAGGAATAGAGTGACACAGGAAAATGACAGTGAAAATGGCAGGATGAAAACTTAAATGAGAAGAAGCCAATACAGGAAAAGCTCATGTAACAAAGGCAGCAGAAGCCTTACATGGAAAAGCCTAAAACACAATACTAATTAATGCATCAGAAAAATTCTGCCCAACAAATCTAATGCTGGAATGAGCTGCAGAACAAGTGTCTGATTCTGTTACATTCTAGGTGTTTCTCATGTTTCTCCTTGTAAGGCCTTCTAGTTTGCCCCTCAGTCATGATGAATAATGCAATCTCAGGCTGTAACTCTTCAAAAATTACCAGTTCACTCAATTTTGTCATTCTTAACTTTCTTCCCTATGTTGACATGTTAGATGAGCAAGCTGTAGCTTTCCCATCCTGCTCCCCAATATACATAGAAGCCCTTCTAGTCCCATGCCCTTTTTAGCCCCAAACCATCAGCCTGACATGAAAATGGAAAAACTCTGCAGACATCTCTGCAGGAAACATTTTGTTCTGAAGATTTCCATCTACCCCCCTCATCAGATACTAGGGCCTATGGCTAAAGCATCCCATGTCTATTATATTTTTGGTATTTTTCTGTGAAGATGCTAACCATCTTTATTTTTTTCTCCTGCTGCTGAATACTGGAGTTTGTTGTGAGGACAAACATTTTTCCATTGTAATCAATTCAATTGTGTAAATGAGTAGCTCAATTATTTTCTTACAGCTCTGTGAGTAATGAATAGTAGTGGTTATATCAAAAGGGCTGTCAGTGTCTTGAGATAATTTGACATAATGTGGTAGGCTATAACCAGGATAACACAAGTAATTTTCCATTGACTGGACATTTTGGCCTCTCAGATCCCCAATCACTGTTGACTCAGAAAAGTTCAGTGCCTATACACTTAGGAGAGATTCTTGTCCTCTGAGTTTCTCCTGTCTAAGTGTTAGAGACTGGGTCATCAGTTTTGACACAGACCTTACCTAACAGAATTGCCTTTCCCTGGCAAATTGCTTGGAAAGTGGATGATGAGGCTGCTCTCATCATGAACTGTTTTGAGAGAGATCCTGTAATGAGGCATGAAGCCAAATACTGCCCTTTAAGCCCATCTTCAGAGAACTAAATGAGTTTACCTCCAAAATTTAATTATTTGAATGAGAGAAACATCAAAGGCAATTAAAAAAAATAAATCAAAAGCTTTAATTAAAAAAGCTGTGCAGGTTCCATTCCTGCGGGAGTGTACACTGGGGTCTGCTAAATTGTGTTATAGAAAAATTGTGTTAGCTGGTCCTATTCCAGGGTGGGAATGTTCAGTAGGTGGGTCTTCTGAGATGCTTCTGGGTGAGTTTTCTATACTGACATCTTTAAGGGTAGAAATTTGGAGGACTCCTCTCCAGAGCAAGAAGTCAGTGAGGACAAGGAAGGAAGGTCTTGTCTCTCTGACAATTGCTGTGAAGCCAGGTAATATAGGGAAAAAACTCTGAAGGACTTTACAAAGAAAATTTATTCCTTCCATCTCCATTGCTGCTTTTCCAGATTCTTTCCCTGTTTTCTCCAGCTCAGGTCTTACTTTTATGTTCTTAGTGGGATGCTTTTCTCACCAATCCTCTTTTCTTCACTGGTGCTTCCTGGACCATTTTATTCTCATGTCACCCTTCTTCCATGTGGGAGTGCACCTTGGTGAAATTTTCTTCTTGGACTCAACAACTACAGACTGATCTTTACATGGGTTTTTTTCTGCTGAGCTGTTGAGAGCATTACAGTGTTCCACTACAGCTCAGCCCTTTGCAATATTGTTTACCAGATTATCTATTTCAAGAAACCTGAATTTGGTCTTATGAGAGAACCTTGATATGGTTTTGTTTCATCCCAGTTCTGTCTTTGGTGCCTCCTTCCCACAGGCTTTTGGCATCCAGTTTCCCTGCTGGAAAAGCAGGGAGCTTTCCAGAGCTGCAGAAGAATTCTTTCAACATTAAAGAATTCTGGTTCTCAACAGCACTGAAGATACCTTCTTTTTAGTTCAATAGAGGGACTGATCCTAGCCGATCATTTTGCTATATCTCAGCACAATGTATATTCTGATTTATTTTAGAATCATGTTCTACTGAGTTAATCTCATTGCTTCAGCACTGTAGAACATTCTGAAGTACTCTGAGAACCCTGGAAGTGCCAGACAAATGCTTGCAAAGCACCTTCCTGAAAGAGAATATTGAATTATCCGGTGTTTTACTGACTTTTTAATTTTTACTAGATTGGGCAGTTATTTTTGGTGTTTATTGAGGAGGGAAATAAATGATAAAGTCAAATATGTTTGTGTTTCTTATTGGGTGCAAAGACTGTATTGTCTAAAGATTATTCCTTTATAAAATAAGCTTGATTTAACAGTCTTTTTCTTGCGTGGAGCATCGATTCACTACAATTTTCTAACTGGCATTTTCAAACAAATTCTCGGCAGGGCCACAGGGTGGCAGAGTGATTAAGCACTGGCAGCAGTTTTTTACAGGGGCAGGAGTCAGGCGAGCCGGCGGAGGGAGCAGCTGCGCTGGTGATGGCAGCGGGGCTGAGCGATGCTGGGGTTTGTAGCGATGCTGGGGTTTGTAGCGATGCTGGGGTTTGTAGCGATGCCCGGGTTTGTAGAGATGCTGGGGTCTGTAGCGATGCCCGGGGTTTGTAGCGATGCCCGGGTTTGTAGCGATGCTGGGGTTTGTAGCGATGCCGGGGTTTGTAGCGATGCCCGGGTTTGTAGCGATGCTGGGGTTTGTAGCGATGCCCGGGTTTGTAGCGATGCTGGGGTTTGTAGCGATGCTGGGGTTTGTAGCGATGCCCGGGTTTGTAGCGATGCCGGGGTTTGTAGCGATGCCTGGGTTTGTAGCGATGCTGGGGTTTGTAGCGATGCCGGGGTTTGTAGCGATGCCGGGGTTTGTAGCGATGCCGGGGTTTGTAGCGATGCTGGGGTTTGTAGCGATGCCGGGGTTTGTAGCGATGCTGGGGTTTGTAGCGATGCTGGGGTTTGTAGCGATGCCGGGGTTTGTAGCGATGCCCGGGTTTGTAGCGATGCCGGGGTCCCGCACATCGGCCCTGGGCTGTGCTGCTGCTCTGCCCCGCCGAGCTCTGGGAGCCACAGGAGCGCCTTCGCTGGCCCGGGATGTCTCTGTGTGCCCCACAGCCTCACCTCATGAATTTCAGGGTGAAGGACAGAGACGGTGCTGAAGCCTCATCAGCCTGTTCTGTACCCCATAGACGCAGCTGTTTGGACTCTGTCACGCTGTTTGCCTCTGTTCCTGCCACCAGAACCACACGTTCTGCACCCACCACCTCCCCCAAGCCCGGCTGTGGTGCTCACCCTAGAAAACAAAGAGCCAGGTGCCCAAAGGCAGAGCGTGCTCCATCGTGGGCAGTGAGTGTGGAAGGATAAATAGTTAACAGAAACTTGCGCTGAGAAGCAGAAATAGATAGCAAAGAATACTAAGGCATCTTAGACTGAATCTCTACTCTCGGGTGTTGTCTCCCAGAGAACAAGAAAACCAACCCTGAGTGTTCAGGGCTGATCACAACTCGGTGTCAAACCGCCAGTTCAAGCCACAGCGCTTTAAGCAAACATTTTAAACCAGACATCAGAGTGCATTAGCACACATGAGGCTGGGGGACGGCTTAAGAAGCTGGCTTTTACCACGGAGCTAGAAGGTGTTGTCTTCACACTTGAGAAGTGGTTTAGAAAGCAGTTCCTTTTCAGCTCTTAGTCACGCTTCCCAGCTGACTCACACCTCCCAGTCCCTGCATTAGGCTGGATACTACACAAGTCTATGGACTAAACATATGATATAGACAAAACTCCAGTTGTACAAGTCGTAATTTCCATTGCTTACAATGCAAAAAAAAAAGAAAAAAAAAAGAAAAAGAAAACAAACAAACAAAAAACCTACTGG